AAGACTCCTTAGTCATAATGTCCATTTACGACCTCACTTCAAATCGAATTCGTAACCTCTTGTTCACGAGATAAATGTATTGCTTTTAAACTGATTGGATTTACTATCCAAGAGTATATGAAATCATTTATAACAATTGTTACGTCCTTGAACTGTCTGCCCACTTTCGTGCCGAGGATAACTTGTCTAATGTGGATTAAAACCTTGACGCGATAGGCTGACTGGCTTTACCTTGAGGCTAGTATGCGTGAGTACGAAGTGTGGGTAGAAAGACGAAAACTATTCTATCCCTAATTGGCTGACAAGAACGCACGAGAGAGAAGACAAGACAATTGAAACACTACTCGCTTTATTCCGAAATCCGATCTGGTACCCGAATTCAGGTCAGTGTAAAAAGATACATGAATAAATAGATGACTAACCTGACCACAATGTACAATAATTAGGGAAATACAATTATGTCCAAAACTGGGGGATTAGAGTAGAAAATAGAGTACAAAATGTGACGTCTAAATTACAATAGCTTTAGAACAGAAAAGGCTATGGCAGTGAATCATACATCAAACGAAAGCTTATGATTTGTAGAATAGACTAGGAACAAAAATAAATGCTACAGTCTTGAATTGAATGAGATAACAACCCCAAAAATAGCTTCCATAATTTGTTAAAGCTTCTTGTTTCGTTGTTCACATCGATAATATTTGTATTTTTCCTTTTATACTAAAGACTGAAATTGATCAGTTCCTGTGGACAAATGTAAACTTTAGATTGCATTACCTTGATTCTTTCCTTGTTAATGAATTGTTTATGACTAGCAGTGAAAATGAAATATTTGAAAATAAAAAACCATGTCATAGTAATAAACATTTAGCCCAGTAGTACTAGTAACACAATAAATTCTAGTTTTTTATGACTATTTTATGCATTGATAAATACTGAGGGTAGGTTTTTTCTTAAATTAATGTTTCTGTGAGAAACCGCTGATAATGGTGATCAATTACGTTTTTTTCGTCAGTGTCTTACACTGCCATAAAAAAATAATCATGAAAATTGACTTATCTAATTGTCTCTTAAAGTGGTGGTTGTCCTTGCAGAGAACTTTAGATAGACTATATTCTAATTTTATTACAAAATGTTTATCAGAGGTCAGAGTGTATTATTAGATTTATGAAGATGGTTGAATATTGTAGTTTATTTTATGAATTGATTTTGACTAGGCCATTATTAACAACTGAGAAGGAGTGGATAAGTGTCTTATTTTAACAAAAGACCCTTTGGGAATAAATAATCACGAGGTATCACGAATTTACTGTAGTTGGTAATGCGAATTCTTGGATGTTTTATTAAATGTTCTAAAGGTTAAGTGCTCTCCATGAAGCCTAAAAGTCCTGGTTTTAATCCCTGGTAGGATCGTGGACGCTTATTGAAACTGAGAGATCGTACACTATAACAAAACAGTTGGCCAGTGCTTTCTAGTTTGTAGTGGTTTTTTAACCGAAGTCAGTTCATAATGTCAAACTTCAAATAATGTAAATTATTGATTTACTTACCAAGACGATTTTCTAGATATTAAGTGGTTGGTTTTGATTTTTAAAATATTAAGAAACAGTCCGAATTTTAGCGTGATAGATATCCATGAAGAATTATAAAATTAATTCCTTTATTGGAGGTTCTGAAGGATTAACTACTGATAATACATAATTGTCTTCACACTAATCAATCGCTTACTGAAAATCAGTAACATGCTGAATAATCCTTAGTGCTAAGCGAATTTCAGTGGTCGATTTATGACATTACTTTAATACTCTGTAAATGATTAGTGTGAATGTTTCCCTTTTAAAGATTGTCAGTGCGTTATAATCATGTGCTTACTAAGGACCAGCATCGAAATCTCAATTTCCAGATTTTAATGTGATAATGTGTTAGTTGTATTACTAATAAAACTGTTATACAGTTTAACTATGTGCGTAATGTTAATACGTTATTTTTCAAATACCTTATCTCTCTCTCTTTGCCTAAACTAATTTTGTTGACATGAAGACGTATATATGTATAATAAATACTGCATTATAGGATTGAAAAATAATCTATCTTTTACTAAAAGTTGTCTATTATCAAAATTGGATGCCGGCTCAGTGGTCTAGGGGTTGAATGCTCGCGCGCGAGACTGATAGGTCCTGGGTTGGAATCTTGCGAGGCGGGATCGTGGATGCGCATTGCTGAGGAGTCCCACAGTAAGACGAAACGGCCGTCCAGTGCTTCCAGATTTTTCATGGTTGTTTAGCCTCAATTAACTCATAATTTCAACTATAAAAATACTGAAATATCCACAAAATCCCTTCTGAAATATCAAAGTGCTTTTTTTGTTTGTATGGTAATAAATTTAAATAGATCGATAAATCTTAAATCATGATGAACACAATTAATTGTTAACTCAAATAGTTTTATTGCTAAGTGTTTCGTTAGAAAGGTTTAATCTATGATAAAGTGGTAAGTGAATGAAGAGACCTTAAATAAATGGAATAAAGTGACAAAGATATTGCATCTGTTGTGATGAATACTTTTTCAGACAGAATTTATGTCTCAAGAACTTTTAAGTCACCTTTGAAATGCACAAGCTCTCTTAGGATGTTGTGTACGTTTCAATTCTATTTGTTTTCCATTGCATTTTCATGAACATTACTTATCACTTTCTCATCGTAATGTTAAGAGTAGGTCAAATCCATCTACATTATTTGGTCATGTAATGGTTGTTAGGTCAATTGTGATTGTGCACTGTACATTTCTACTAGCTAAATTATTGAACTGAATTATAATGAATGATCTCTTCACTTGTCACAAATTAGAATTTTACATTGAGCATTAGGTTGTCAATTTCGCTTATGTGATCTATTCAAAACTCTATAATACAGATAATATTGAATTCATGGTAATGAGTATCCACTGAAAATGTTCACATTACACTGTCCTGTGCAAATAAGTTGACCTGATTATGATAACAAGATTGATCTAGAGACATGGTCACATAGTCGACATGTTATTCAACAACAAGGCGAAACAACTTTTCCTAGCTCCCAGGTACTAAACCTGGAAACGACCTGTTGAATTCGACTTACAAATTAATAAGTGGACCAAATTATTCTCCACTTAAATATGACACTTCAAGTTGAAGTTCAGTATAAACTACATGAAATGACTATTTTATAAAAACGTCATATTTACAAACATAATTGAATGATTGAATTAAACAATCAGTGAATAAGTGAACTATGGTTGAAAAAAAAAAGTTTTTTTGTTTAAAATCATGAAAATTATTTATATTCCCACAAGGCATCCAAATCAAATGTGTTACAGTCTGTTCAATAGTGAATGTATATTACAATGTTTACCGTTGGTTGATAATTTGTATATTGTTACATAACGATATATAGATACCTATATTATACCCTTAGAAGTTATACTAACCTAGTTTAATAGACATTTGTAACACTTTAACTATAATTGGTAGGATACTCAATGTACCATTAAACATTATCAACATCCATGTATAGATTGAATGTGGAACTGTGGTGTTGAAGTCTTTATTCACAACTATATAGTGATTGTTTACTGAGATAGAAAAAAACGACAATAATATAGATGTTTACAAATAACATATGATGTAGTGGTGTAATTAAACAATAATAATTTAGATTATATGTATATCTAATTGTTACAAGACATGTCCTTCTCAATGAGATACACTGAATAATTAAGTGTATATGTAAAGTGGTTGCACGTAACCTAGTAGTGAGTGTTTATGTACTTCAATCATTGAAATGTCCAAATAGTGTGTTAGTTTGTGTTTGAGTGCATGTAGAGCTGGACGAATGGTTTTTGAAGGATATAAATAGGTTTATTATGAGAAACATATCATGGTTACTGTATGCTACTGTCACAGATTTTGTAATGGTTGAATATTTATAGATGTTTAAGGGACATTTCCAAAGATTTGTGTTCGGTTATCTGAACTCAGTAGCTTATTGAATAGGACGGTGTTTGAAGTTGATGGATATTGAGTTCGATATTCAGTGTGAATATCAAGAAACCTATGAGTTCCAAATAGGAGAATACGTGCTTCTTGCTCACATTATCCACTGATCCACTTAGTCGATGAAACCAATCCCTTATTGAACGAATAGGATGTTTGTATCATTAGTGAAAAGAAATTGAATTATCTCGTTGTAGTATAGAATGTAATCAGTCCTTGTTACCAAATATACATCTTGTATAGATGTCTGTAAAATAGCCATTTTATCATATGTTTTAAAGAATGAATGTGTTGTGTCTAGCAGTGGAGTCCAAAACGCATGTTTCATCCTATTTGAGAGACGTCAGTTTGATGTACTTATAACCTATTGTTGATATACATAATGAAAGTCGATTTCAGCACTTTTCATTTGGAATGTCAATGCATTATGCACTGAGCTAGTGAGTCCAACAAACAACAAACAATTATTTTTATCTTTATTATTACCTACAACAGTAAAGCACTATCGCTTGGTAATTATAACTTTTACATAAGTATAGGAAGTTTTGTGGAGATTGTAAAATTTTCATAGTTTAAATCACAAACTGTTCTAGTGAGCAGTTGTAACGAATGCTATAAAACAATTCTCCACTTAGGGCAAAGGAAAATAATCGCGTTTAATCGTGAACTGAACGAAGTTATACATGTACAACATTGGATGCTATCCAAGTGATCTAGAGATTGAGCATTCGGGTTTTAGACTGAATGTTCTAGGTTCGACTCCTTGGAGTTAATATACGTTTCCAAGTCGTCTTATACTAGGACAAAATATTTTTACCATGTTTTTTTATTTTTAGTCATGGTATTCCTAACATTTGGTTATACAAACCGTAATGTTTTGGTTTTAGCTGAAAATTATTGATTTTAAAAAAAGAATAACTATTTCATATGATACTGATCTACATTTCCTTTTTCTATCCCTTCATTTCAGCTCCTTATCTGAATCGTAAAAAACAATTGAAGCAACAATTATCAAACAATCATTTAATCAATAATCAAACTAAAATTTCAATCAATGTTACAAATCCTAAATACAATATTAATAATAATAATAATAATAATCATTCAATATTGAACAATATTGATTATATTAAAACAAAATCTGCAACAACAATACCAACATCATTACCATATAGTATTACAACAACAATTAATAATTGTTACCAAATTAATTTAAAAAATATTATTGATTTATCTGAAAAAAATATTGATTATTTAAATAATAAATCCTCTCCAAGAAAGTTTACTGATAATCATACTGAACAATTTAATGAAAATGTGTAAGTTTTCTTTCTTTCTTTTTTTTTTCGTATAGTCAATGTTCTATCGCTGTTTTCTTCAATGTGTTCAATGTTTAATTATTTATTTATTTATTTATTTAAACACATAAATATTGGTACAAGGAAGCACCAGTTATATATGCGCCACACAAATCGAATGAGATTTGTGTGAGGACTGTGATACTGCCCAGGTGCCCAAACTGAAGTAGGTGGTTTTCTTACGGGGCCACACCCGTGGCTTTTGACCTAAAAGGTCTAACCCGCAAGGCAATGGAACATCATGAGGAGATGCAGTTCCATGGTAGCCGGTGACCAACAATTGGTTCATACGCCATTCGTTCCCTCAGAATACTGGAGTCCATGTTCACCATTGGTTTGGAATCAGGGTTTTCAAATCCGCTGAGTGGACTTTCCATGTCCACCAACCCGGTTGAAGTGCCAGACATTCGCTTATCGTCCTCTGAATTTTGTAAACAACAGTAATGCCACGAGAAAGCAGTGAGTAGGACTTGTGTGGCAGAGACTATATACGCATGTTCATGTGAGAGCATTTGGAGAGGGAGAGCTGACTCTCCTCACTCTCTGCAGTACCAGGGTATTTGGGGGCAAAATATTTCAACCATTATAAACGGCCTGCTTAAACATCTGGGCTACCTGTTTCCCGTCATCTATATATTTCAACCAGTTATCTAATATTGTTTGTTTTAATATATAATTATGGCTATTAAGCACACAACCTATTCCGGTGCGTTTCTGAAAACTGTACAACCTTTCGCTGTAAAAGTTACAAAAGGCCTATCAGAGATGTCGTGTTTGCTGGGAACATGCAGCAAAAAGAATATACATTATTCATATGTCGATTGACTGAACTGCTGACATCCAACTGGCGATCACTGAATGTATCTCATCAGGAGCAACGAAGAAATAAGAAACGTAAACATGTTGAAATACTTTATGCTGGGAATTCGATTTTGTACCAAATAATATAATATTGAATAAAGCTAATAATAATAAATAATAATAATAATAAATGAAGTTAGTAGGTGAGTATAGCGAGGTTAGAGTGTGACTTTTACTAAAAACTTCTTTTTAGGTATTTCAATTTATTCTTAACTGAGTAGTAGCGTAGACTGAAATACTGAATAAGAGAATACATAAATATTAGAAGTGAGAACTGGAAATTAAATTTCTCATGAAGAATACACTGTTATATGCATTACGTATCTACAAAATGAACGGGGCGATCGGCGACATTGCTGGGTGTAATATATTTGTTGAAAATTGAAAATACGTTAATCTCAACCTTGTTTTCTTAGTAAATAATAGGGGTTTCGCAGTAATCTAATGTTGTTAATTCATAATGAGTTTCAGATTTTAGAGGTTATATGATGGACATTTTTTCATATGTAGTGTCGTTTGTTACTAAACTGATCCTACTGAATCCTTTACAACAATATCTGTTCTTTAAATTTTATTCAACCTACGAGATCATTTAAATTTGCTCATAACAGTGGTTGGAAGTAAGATAATCTGAAATTATTTTAACGGGTAATTAGAATTATGTGAAATTAATTATACATAGAACACACAAATGGCACACAGATGGTCTCTTGAGTGAATGATAATGATGCTTCTGAGGTTTTGATGATCTAGAATTTTCGTTTGAAGTTTTGTCAGTATTTTGTTTTTCTTTCAAATTTTGGGTAGTTAGTCGTGTTCTCTAATCTTAATTGATTGGAGGGATCCCGTAGGAAACCTTAAACAAAGGTATAAGTACCAGTTACAACTCGTTAGCAAGACGTACTTAGAACATTAAGGGAACTGATGCTAACTGCGGAATTCAAACCTTGCTCACCTAACCTCACAGTATGAGACATTAAAACTGAGCTATTTGACCGGTAATATGCCAGATTGTGTCGCTGAATGGTCCTGTCTCGAACCTATTAAAGTTTTCCTGATATCTAGATGGCATTGATTCGAATCGTTTACAATCCACTGGTCTTACCAACACGGTAAATATGCCTAATTTATAAGTAATAATTAGCATGAAAAGTATGTTCATGTGACATCCCGAAACCTCAATTGTATTTGACTTTTAACCTACTTAAATCATTACTCAGTAGTAGTGTGGTGTGTGCTACTGATGTCGACAGATATAAGTAGTATGTATCACCAAAATGAAAGTGAAATGCCTGGCAGCAGTAGATTAAGAAGATTGAAGAGAAGAGAACGAGAGCAGAGAGTGATTAGTGTGGAAACGAAGTAACAATCAAATTTGAGACACAAGGGGGGTTTTTTGTGGAGATTTAGTAATTTTATAGTTAAGATCATGAGTCAATTGAAGCTAGACCACCGTGGAAAACCTGGAAGCACTGGACGGCCGTTTCGTCCTATTATAATAGGACGATAATGATCATATGCTCACTAGTGACTGGCACCTTGAGGTAATTCCTGGAGTTCTAGTGTGAAGTCGTGGCCAGTGGAGCTAATCCATGTCAGGTAGAGACAGGTATCTACCTCAGTACATTGGAAGTTGGTTGCGCAATTTCGTGGATTGGTTGAGGTTAGACATTAACACCGTTGGATACCGGCTAGCTCAGTGGTCTATCGGTTAAGTACTCTGGCTCGAGACTGGTAGGTCCTGCGTTCAAATCTAGCGAGAGCGGGTTCGTGGATGCGCACTGCTGAGGAGTCCCATAATAGTACAAGTTGGCCGTCTAGTGTTTCCAGGTTTTCCACGGTGGTCTAGCTTCAATTGACTCATGATCTTAACTATAAAATCTGAGACAATTGATTGATATTTTGCAAATGAAATATTTACTCTATGGTTCTCAGATTTGATTAAAATATTCTGTAATTTCATATTCAAATACGACGAGACTATAATTTATGTACGACCTTTGAACGAATCTTAAGTGACTTTGAGAAATGTTAGTCGATCAGTAAACAGTCAGTATAGAGTAAAAATATATTATACAAAACCAAATAATTAAAGTGGATACACTTCTTTTATATGGTCCAAAAACTTGTCAAGGTTATAAAGAGGTTCAAAGGTTCCAAAATCGTATTGCATGAGGTAGAGGAACTCATCCATATAGCTCCATAATAGTTGGTCTCTGAAGTAATGATAAGGTCATAAAAACCCTCTCAGCCTCGACCATATGGCTTCATTATTGTGTAAGTTTATCATTTTTATTATGGATATGTCCTGACAATACTCATATCACTGAAGAGCAGAAGCTTCAGTATCATCTGCGAATATTGCAGCCAATGTTACTGATGGTTTTATTATACAGTTGGTGGCAATTATTATAATTTGCCTTAATCTCAATCTGGATCGAGCAATAAAGGTTTCTATTCTAGAAAACGTCTTCCCTCAACATATATTACATCGAAGGACAACATCACGGTAGTCTACACAAGGTCTACAAGTCATTTAATACTCGTAATTACAAATACACCAAATTCTTAGTAGTTTCATTTGTTGTAGCTGTTTAATTGTCAAGTCTTCTCTAAAATTCTCTTTGAACCGATCGTACATGAGTATCAGGTACTGAAATAGGCGCCGTAACCTTGAAACCCCCTGAAATGCTTCTGATTGGCTCTTCCATAAATTATAGTCTTGCCTCAAATACATTTGGTCATCCCTACTTTCGTTCCCATTCACTATCGTATTAGTGTGAGTACTGGTAGTATTATTATTATTATTATTTATCATCCACGGCGGACCACACACGTACATATAAATGCACACTACCATGTCTTATTTCTAAATGGGATAATATACCATTTCATAGGAAACAAACAAACAAATATATATATATATATATACATGTACAGCACGTCTCGCATTTCTTCACGAGTTGAAAAATATCAACCACACAAGAAATTTTGCAAATCACCTGTTCTCCAAGAGGAAGAACAGTTGAAAAGGTAATAATAATAATAATAATGATAATAATAGTAAACGATGGAAAATGTTAAACACGCAAGCTATTATACCTATCAACATAGATTGTTACTATGAATACTATTATCATTATCACAAGTATTATTATTATTATTATTATTTAAAAACCCCTTGACATTTAAAACTAATATTCAATCAACTAGCATATCTATATATATACATGCATAGTGATAAGGAAATAGGCATGTACCAAATCATCTTACTTTTATATATTCATATATATTTGTAAAACATTTGCTTCCTTTTTCTTGCCTTATATAAATCAATAATAATAATAATAACACTTTATGTGTATGATTATGGTATTAAAGGGTTTATAGGCAATTTATATATTTACAAAATTACCTTAACTATTTAAAATTACAATCAAATATTTAATAAACTAATTAGATTGTACTTTATTGTTCAATTTATTAATGGATAGATTGATTATAAAATTGTTTAATTATATATATATATATGCTAAATCTATGATTTCATAATGATTTAATGCTGAACGGATGAATAGAAGGTTCTAATTTCGATCTCTGGTAAATTCATCGGTGTATAATCTTGAGAATTTGCATATTGAGACGAATTAACCAATGATTTCAGATTGATTTTTGATTGGTACTTCGAATAAGATCTATCAGTGATGTATATCACTTTTAAACATCTTCATAAAACGTTTACAAGTAAATGATAGATAGAGATTTGGTTAATATTCCGAACAGTTAAAAGCAAAATAACCTGGTTACAAACCGCGAAATTATTTTCGATAAGCAAGATATATTGATTATCATTTGTAATATTGTGTTTACATAGATAACAGGGAAAGTTTGGTTTGGTGGACTTACTAGTTCATCCGTTGTCAATTTGTTGAAATATTGTTACGGTAAATAATAATAATAATAGTAATAATAATGTATCGAATACAGATTTATGTCTAAATAGTTTCCATGAAGTTATATTCCTGGAAGATAATATCAGTGATATCAACCTAGTCGAAACACATGGAAAGCAACAGTTACTTTACGATGAATGACAATAA